ACTCACCCTAACCAACAACACTACTGACGCCAAACACAGCCTCACCAATCGACTACAAACCAAAAACCATGACAATCTCCGGCACCAACAATATCGCCGCCGCCGCCATAGCCAACATCCCAACCACCACCAAAATATTAGATCCACAAAACCACCACCCCCGCCAACACGACCACCACCAATAAAATCACTACACAACCACTGCAAAACAAAGATCTAAAATCTGCACAATCACCACCACCGCTATTTACATAACACCAACAACCACCAATAAAAACAGCCTAAAAACTCCTGATACATCGAACTGAGACACTAGCAATGTTACCTGAGGAATGCTTCTTGGGTAGTGATGGGAGCCAGCAGCGCCGCGACGCACAGTGACGCTACTGTGGACGACAGTGCGAATTAGGGCAGCGTCACAATGCTGCTGCGGCGTCGGCAGCAGCGTCGCGAGCTGTGAATTAGGGTAGCACCGGCGCGCGGTGCTATTGCAGTGTGCCCGCGGCGGCCTTCCTCCGGTGAAGCTACGATTTTGGGCAGAGAGAGAAAGAGAGGGACACGAATTTAGGGTTGAAAATTAATTTAGGGGAGGTGGGGTGTATATATATTAATTGTGATAATATTATTATTAATATTTAATTAAATATAAAAAAAACATGTATCTATATTTAAAATATCTAATTTTTGAAAATTAAAACTTGACATCTGATTTTTTAACTTGAATCTTGAAAAGTAAGGATTCCTGTAATTTCCACTTTGATTTTAGTGGCGTTTTTGTTCTATAAATTTATTTTATCCTGAAAAAATCTGTCAAAATTTCTTGTGATTAACATATTATATTATCATTTTAGGGTGATTGTATTTTTTGTATTGTAGCATATTTGCACGACTATTGAACAATATTGTCAGGGACAGATCCAGCACCTGGTCAGTCTTTGCGGCCGCTCGTGCTGGATCCGCCGGAAGTACATTTTTTTTATTGATAATAGATATGTGTTTTACTTATATAACTGATCATTCATTTTATTTTCAAACTTCTCATGTAGCTTGGTTGCTGAGAAAGCGCCTATACATACTTCATGTCTTGGGTTCGAATCCATTCCAACCAATTTATTATGAAATATTTTTAGTTCTATACAATATTTGCCAAAATTGATTAATATGGAAGAGATTTGAAGTTTCGAACCTACGATATCCATTTAGTATTTTTGAACCGTGGACCATTTTGGCAGTTGTTTAAGCTTTAACAAGAAATTTCATAAAATAATATATGTTAAGTTTCTGTGCTTTTAATGCAATTGCCATTGTAAAATTTAACACTCATGCTCTTCCTTTGAATTATTCAAAACTTGGCCATGATGTAATTTAGTGAGGACGGCTAATTTTTATCACATAATTTTATTTGTTTAGTTTGAACAAAATAATTGTTACATTTAAATTTTAGGCCTTGTTGTTTCCCATTTTTTTCAAAATACATTTTTCTCTTCTTTTCAACTACACATTCTCTAATAAAATAATATTACACACAAATTATTTTTTTTTCTTACTTTAATTACACATTCTTCATTAAATCACTATTTCAAAATGTTTTTTTTTTTTGCAAAAATGGGCATCAAATAGGCTTTTAATATTCTTTCAAAAATGGGCTATAACAAACAAGCTTTTTACATTTTCGTTCTTAGGGGCTGTGTGACATTTAGTTGATTTTGATAAAATTTGAAGAAATATTTAATTGAAAAGTTTTGAATTCCATAAAATATATGGTTAAAATCGAAATGTGGTCAATTGAAAATGTGATAAAATTTTAGCAGAACCTTATCAAGCAAGCACTTAGTCTGATATGGTACAACCCAATGAAGCGTATGCCGTGGTCTTTATCCTCGCAATGAAGTTACTGCAACTATCAACTGTTTTATTTATCTCATTATTTTTACGCGCCAAACTTAATAATGATAAGGGTGTCTGTTGTACCCAACATTCATAAAATGTACGAGCTGAATTATTTCCTTTTCTTTATTTTTACTTTCTTAATCAGTTAATGTGTGTGTGTGTGTATATTATTGTATGCATTTAAAAGAGACAGTATAATATTTTGCAAATTTTATAGGGGACGGTTGATGTCAATTATGTTGGCACACTGCGTTTATTACACACTAGGCTATCCATGGCTATAGTATTGAATAAATATAGTTCTTGTCTCATACATATTTGCTTGCATTTACTGAGTAGGTCACATACTTGCACGCTTAGCCCATGTTTGATTTAGAAAAAAAAAAAATCAAATTTTTAGTGGATTTTGATAAAAAATGATGGAATGTGTGATTGAAAAGTTGTGGGGACTATGAAATATATTGTTAAAACTAATTGTTGTTTTTTACTTAGACATTGTCCGTTAGGATCTTTGCTTTGCATTGAATTGAATTAAATTAAATTAAATCACAGCTCAAGTACTTGTGCAGGTTACTTCAATTCCTTTGAGTTTCTTTGCAAATGTTCTCCCAAGGCTTCTACTTAAAGCGTTACCTAAAGCACTGCGCTGGTCAATACACACAATGTCTATCCATTTTTACGACTAGGATTAGGGATATATATTTTCTTTCATTCCCTTAGCTTACTCGTCTCTAGTGTTGGCTCAACAAAGTTTTTTTCTAATTGGGGTTCTTTATGATCTCTCCATATTTTACTGCTCTATCAAAATTCCGTCGAACCCTACTGTACTCTGACTTAGTAGTTTTCACTACATATCTAGGATTCAACCCTCGGATTTGACAACCAACTTGATTCAACCCTTCGATTTTATGCAGGCATATATAGAGCCTGTTTGGNTAGGCCCCGTTTGGTACGGATTCTCCAATTCTACAGTAAATCAATTCTCATTTTCAACCACACATTCTTCAATAAAATAATATTTTCCATCACATCAATAATCTTATCTTCTTTTTCAACCACACATTTCCAATCATATCACTGTTCAAAAATCAATTCTTCCTCTAAAAATCCCTACCAAACAGGCTCATAATTTCTCTTAATTCATTATTCCATATTCCTACCAAAATTAGGACTTTATATTAAGCTTGAAATAAAAGAAGGAAGGCAGCACAAAATATATTTGGAAATATTTAAATTGGCATTTATAGTTGACACTATTTTCCAAGAGTCCAAAAAGCATTCTCAACAAGAAGAATATTATGATTCTTGGTCATTCCAATGAATCTGGCCTGCGTACTTATCCTAATTCCTAGATCGTACTTAATCTATGCAAAAGATCAGAGAGAAAGAGAGAGACCATAATCTTGTTTTAAGTAATTAAGGAATTTTGTTGGTATTCTATAAAAATATTAAAATCCATTTTTAATAATTTACTTAGACAATTAAGTCTATGTTTGAGCGGTTAAAAATGAGTAATGAAAAAATTTGGATTTATGTGTAAAATTATTTTATTAGGAGAAGAAGGGTATTATTGAAAATGAATTTAGGAAAAAATGAATTTTGTATTGATCATTGGTCGGACTAGTGAAGTATTTAATGTATAACATTATGAGTTTATTAAAAGAACAAAATGATTAGCAGAGGGACGTAAAGCTCAATTGAACATCTGTTATGCATGCAATAAAACAGAAATTAAAATATAAACTTCCTCTAAGCTGACTTCTGTAGTATTTTCCTCGAACTATTCAATTAAAAGTGCTTTAAGAAGCAAATGAAAAAGAATTCCCGTGTGGATAATTCAATATGATTAAGAATGATTCCCGTGTGGATAAGAATGTAAATAGATGGACTAATATTAATTAATGTCTTCCTAACTTTTGGAATTGCAGAATTCTCACATTCACATATCATTAAAAAACACGAGTCGGTGTTAAAAAATGAATTGTCTGCAACTTGCAGGTATCTGCCTCGCCTTCTATATCGTTCTGCCGTGAATTAAATGATCGGACGACAATGACGTAAGCATTTTTATATCAAACATCACTCTATGCCTATATCTCTATATCTATTATTATCCATCTCTCTCTCGACATCAGCATGACAACCTGTATAATAAATAACTAATAAAACCCACCCCTTTTACTATTTTTTTCAAATTCTCTATTATTCTGTCTGTTTTCCTCTATTTAAACCCTGTTTAAACCTCTCAAATTCTCCCATACAGTTGCTGTGCAAAAGATTCAAACAATAACAATGTCTCCATCCGGTTCTACAAGATGGTGTCCAACCCCAGAACAGCTGATGATCTTGGAGGAACTGTACAGAAGAGGAGTGAGAACTCCAAAAGCTTCTCAGATACAAAAAATCACAGCCCATCTCTCTTATTATGGCAAAATACAAGGGAAAAATGTGTTCTATTGGTTTCAGAATCATAAAGCTAGAGACAGGCAAAAACTCAGGAAAAAACTCATTAGCATGCAACAAAAGCCGTTTGATCTTGATCATCAGCATGCCCACTACAACAATCTTGATTCTCATATCATGTCTCCAGCTTTCCATCAGATACCTGGCTACAATTCGGCAGAAAATAATCATCAGGTATTATTTTTATTTTTTTTTAAATTAACTTGAACGACAAGTACCATTTTCCCATGAAAGACTTACCCTGTGGACATTTTTTATGAATGAGTAGCCACGAACTTAAATTTAGAAATCTTTGCGCACTTTGATACAAAATTGAAATATTTCGTCTAAAAGCTTACTTTTATATGCAAGAAAAAAATGTTATTTTAAACTATTTCCAAGTTTTTTTTATTTTTATTTTTTTATTGAAATTTAGAGAGCGGGGCGTGTTGTTCTTGCGCTTCAAATTCTTTGTGCTTATATTTTAATTTAATAATGGGTACAATAAAGTACTTAAAGAGTAGGGTTGCCACATGACCTGCAGTAAATCGAGAGATAAAAGAATATAATGCAAAGTAATTAATTAGGAAAACAATTAGGTGCTTGTTTAAAAAATTTATATTAAAATTATCAACTTTTTAACTGGTAAAATGTAAAATTTAATCGAGACCCACGACTTTTATCAACTTTTCGATCACAAATTTCATCATTTCTTATACTTATTTTTCTCTTTTCCTGTCATTTTTTATATGGTTAGGGTGTAGTTGAAGATACAGGAGGCCAAATGATGGATTGCTCATGGACGTCGGATCTTCCAAAAGATTGCTTGATCAGACCATGTCCTCATGATTTCATGATGATTATGGAATTCGGTCCCACTTTCCATTGCTGTAGTAACCCTAGGCCCCTCCAAACCCTGGAACTCTTCCCCTTAAGAGCCCCCAACGTGAAGGATCAAGAAACTTAACAACCTTTCTCTCTATTACTTTCTTTGTGCCTTCGGTGTTTGTTTTCTGTTATGTTTTGCTGTAGACTTGGAAATATCTGAATTGTCTAGTTTGACAGTGATCAGTATTGTTTCTGCTTCTACAGTCTATTCACTGTTTCCCATTATTATATAATGTGATATTTCTAATCTAGAATCGGCTTTGGACTTTGGGGAATTTTCCATAGCTAAAAATTGTCAACAATCACTGAACTTTCAGTAAAATCTCAATTGGATTATTTTGAATTTTCATTTGTTATAATTGGGTCACTAAGAATTAATTTGATTTCAAACTTCACCACTTCATCACATTTATGTCACATATCGCACTTAAGACTGACAGAATTCTTTATTTTTATTTTTATTTTTATTTTTATTTTTCGTAAAAAATCAATAAGTGATTTCTTTTAATAACAATAAACATAGTACAAACTTTGGAGATGTAAAAAAGAATAACGTACCTTCGTCAAAGACTGGGGAGAGAAATATAAAAACTAAAAAATTACACTTTTTATGATCTAGCTGATATACTCCTCGTGATTATATATCGAGTGCCTTTCTAATTCATTGTCCCATTTAAACTCTCTACTTTAAAGAGATTGAGTAAATTTATTAAGGTATCTCAAGTTTAGAAAACTTATAGCTTCCTCTCAATCAAAAGCGTCCTCAGTATATTCGAATCCTTGTCATTGAAATAATTGTTTTCATACAATTTCATATCCAATACTATGACTACAATTTTGTGCACCTGCTCCAGAAATGTCATAAAATCACCATCCACGTGTTGTTTGTTCTTTTCTTGATTCTCGTCAACTTGGTTGATCTCACTAAACTCTCGTAGAAATTACTTAGTTGACTATCATAATGTATTTGATCTTTCACATAATTTGCAAAGTGGAACACTGGAGATGAAAATATTAAAATGACATTATCTTTAAATGCAAAGGTTAAAAAATTATTTTTTAAAACCGTGGTTTAGTTCTAGAAGCCATGCCATAAGAAATTACGTAAAAAGTCTATTATGATATAACTGTTGATTAAGTAATTTTCGTTAATTTGGAGAGGTAGTTGATAGAGTATTTAAATCTAAAATCAAATGAAATCGAATATGAAAGTGAAACTGACCCAATTCAGTATTAAATTTTATGGTCTGATTTTCAAAACCTGTCATTTTTTGTTTTCCTGCCTGCATCTGCATGCATGCATTATATGAAGAAATCAGCCTTTTGTAGTCCTATAGACTTCGAGACAAGTCAATGCTGGCATGCACAAGTCATCAAGAAACTAACAAAATGCTGTCTTTTGTACGAAATTATAAAGTTGAATTTCTATCAGTAAAATATAAAAAAAAGACACTGTTTGAATATGTCACAATAGGAACATTTTCCCAAACTAGAGTCTACTGAATGGATACAGAAGAGGCTCTGGATTTCGTGTAATAAATTAGTGGGAACACGACAAAGTAAAACTGTATACAGGTCAAGGTTATATTTTATTAGAAATCCAATAACTCGGGTGTAATTGTAAGAGTTTGTGGATTTTTGGAGTTTTTGAAAGAGAGCTTTTCGTAGTCTAAAAATGTAACCAGCAGAATTTTTCTTTGCTTGAATTTTTGGGTTGCAAGAGAGGAAAGTTTTGAATAGTTCAGCCTCCTCTGCTTGTATATGCCCAACGCACGATAAAACGCCGGGCGTCTCTGGACCAGGGCAAATCTAACGAAGGCCCAATGGAAGCAGATGAACTTCGTGCCATTCCTATTTAACAAGGAAAAATTACACGAAAAGATGGATTCAACAATTTATTATCAAAAATCAGATTTTTAAAATTTCAATTTCAAATTTCAGATATAATACAAAAATCAGATATTAATTTATCTATTTCATCTAACCCTAATTTTATCATCTTCTTCCACTCCTCTCTCTCTTCCCCACTCTCTTCCCCGCCTCTCTCTCTCTCTCTTCTCTAGAGACACAGAGATCAACCACTGTTGCAAACTCCCGTCGCGAACTCTTCCCCTCCTCTTTCTCTTCCCTGCCTCTCTCCCCTCCTCTTTTTCTTCCCCGCCTCTCTCCCCTCTCCCTCACACAACCGCCGTCGTCGAAGACAGTAAAGGCCGTGGGGCAAATGGGCGGCGGAGATTCGAAACCCTTCCTCTCCTCTCTCTCTCTTCCCCGTTGCGCACAAGACTGTCACCGCCGCTGCGAGCGGCGCGGTACTACCGAGGTCTCCATCGAACGGCGTGTGGATGTATTTCTTCCACTGCGTATGTGGTGGTGGTTCTGGCTGAGGATGTGTCGACGACACTTGGTGTGGGTTGATGTTGCCGAAGGTGGCAAATCGAAGTGAAAGGTGAGAGATCGGAAAAATGGCATTGAAGGATGATAAGTGTATTTTATACAATTATTCGAGGTCTAAAATAGAGATATTTGATAGTTTTTTTGATAAAATATATTCTAAATTGTTGTATTTTATGTTATATATGTAAAACTCAATGGTTGGACGAGAAATTGAAAAAAAGAAGCGAAATTGGTGAAAAATGGCGAAATCCAAAATTTGGGGATCAAATTGTAAATATTCAATAGTTTATTCGGACCAAAAGATGAGTTGAAAGATTTTTAGGAGACAATTGGATGGAATTTGAATTCAAAAAGGATGGAATATGATCAAAGTATTATCACAATCAATGTCCAATCGCACAAGTTATATTCCAGATTTTTAGTCGATGATTGAGACCCAATGTTGGTATAGTAAATGTCTGAATTGGGAAAATTATATCTATCACAGTTATAGCCCTTCGAGTTATCTTTCCAACGCACTTGGAATCGCTTCAATTGGATATCGAAAGAGAAAGTTATGTCCAAAATACTGACTGCTGTGCAGAGATAAAAAAATCCGCGTGCGAAGGCAACTTTCCTTATTCAATTGGAACTCTTTTAGAAGTCAATTTGGATGTGATTTTCCACCAAGTTTCAACTCTTACAAATACATAACAGTAAAATCCATATTGGAGACATCTAATGTACATATTATACTCAATTATTCATCAATTATTATCATCAAATGAAGAGAATTTATAGTTTTTGTGAAAGAATTGAAGAAGATTTGCAAAAATTCAATTAAGTGAAAATTGAAACCTAATTTTTGGACAAAGAAGAGAAGGTGCAAGTGGAGATTGATCAAGAAGCCATTGAAGAGATTCAAGATTTCAAGATTCATCTTCTCGATTTATCGAAAATTTGGGTTATATATTTTCACTTAAATATGATTTCTTGTACTTTCAATATGTTGGGCTAATTTTATACATTACTAGGATAAGATGAACCCTTTTTTATGATATTTTTAGTTTTTAATTAATTATTTTGACTTTAATTTGATTTGATTTGATTTCTGGATTTTTTTATTATTTTATCGTTCTTTTCAATTGATTTATCACCAATTGAATTGTTAGTGAATTTTATTATTATCGATAGAGATAATATGATTTAAGCACAATATAATAAATATTGTAAGGTTCGATAGAAGATAGGGATATACCTCTATGCTTTATATGGTTTCAATAAGTGTTCTAGTACTTGTTAATGTATTTATCATGTTTGCGTCTTTCATTGAGAGATAGAAGGGTCACATGAGAGGAATAGATTTGATCGATATCGAGAGAGACTTTCAATTAAATTAGGAACATTGACCAACATGAATTATTTCAAATTGTCAATTTAATTGTTTTACTAAAAACGGAATAACAAGAGGGATTCGACATCTTAACTATGCATCTCACATATTTGAAAAACACATGTACTTACTTTCTAGTTTAATAGATAATTTAGATATTAGTATAGAAAACTCAAAATCTATTTGCTATTCAATTAAAGTTAAAATTAATTTTAACCCGATCAAATACAAGTTCTCGTGGGTTCGACACTCTATTCACTATTTTATTACTTATTCACGATCTCGTTCACTTGCGGGAAATCAAACGATCAAATTTTTTGCGCAGTTGTCGAGGAACTATTGTGTTTAATGAGTTTAAATTAATTTTAAGTTTAATTTGAATTTTTATTGATTATTTATTTTTAATTTGATTACTACTTTAATTAATTTTAGTTTTAACAAAAAATTTTGTTACTTACTTTTCTTTATTTTTTTTATATCGTTTGACTAACCCCTACAGTTTTAATCTATCTTGTATTGATATTCTCTCTTTGTACTATTTAGATATTATGTATGATTCTCACATTGGTAAAGTAACAAAATTGTTGCAATGATAAATCTATACAGAGATTGTCAAGATATGCTTGGAGGATATCCAAATTGTGAAAATTGTTATGTGGTGCATTGTACTGGGAAATGTCTGTTCTCTTACACTAATTTGCACACATCGAAACTTCTGAGATTTCAAAAATATTTGATATGTAGAAAACAAACAATTGAAATATCAAATCAAGAGTACATGCTCGTGGGAGATTTTGTACCTGGCGATTGAGATGATGACATCAAACTTGTGGGAGATGGTCCTCCCCTATTGAATGAGAAGGTA